CAAATTTAATACCATCCATTATATTATAGTGACCTACTTGTAAGTTGTAACCTACTGTACAGCAGAGTGACATCCACTTGCCCACCTTTTAGATTCTGAGTGAAACGATGAATGTATTGGTTTTACAATTATGAGTGTTTTTTTTTTTATTTTTGTGTCTGTCATAACCTTTTATTACAGTAAAAATTCTTAGATTTTCTTCAACAGTATCTTTTCTGATAGGAAAGTGAATCTAGTTGGTACTTTGGCTGGTCAAAAGTAAAAATTTTCAAGTAGTTTTCAGAAGCTCGATGAAAAACAAAAGAAAAATTAAGGAAAAAAGGGAATTTGTACCGGGCAAAATCTGTTTTTGAAAAAACCGTAAGTCAAATTAATTCAAAATCAAAAACTCGTAAGTCAAATGTCTCAATAAAAAAATCAAAATGTTTTATTATTTTACACATACATAGTAGATGATTAGTATAGAATAAAAATAAAGTGAAAATAATTTATAATTGTGTAATTTTGATACACATCACAGTTTTTTGCTGTTCCTGAAAAATTTGATAAAAGTGACTTACTAGGTTTTCGTCTGTAGCCGACGACTTGTAAAAAAGTTGTGCCAGATGTTTTTAATATTTTTCAACTGCTATAGTAACAATATATCGGTAGCTTCGCATTAAATTTTCACACTTTTTGATCCAACAAATAAAATGTATTGACAATTATAGAAAAAAAATTTTAAAAAATTTAAACTGAAAATGTCCGAAACAGCTCGTGAACAGTCAAAATATTTTATATTTTATATATTATCAATAATTTTATTATATTATCATATATATATATATACCCAAGATATTTATAAATTATAAATTATAATCAATCTATCGCGGACCGTCACTATAACTTATCGCTCTCGTTTTTTTTTTTTGTTAAATATAACCAATCGATCTAATAATGCGATAATCTTTCAGACAACTGCTCTGAATTCGTTAGAATGTCCATTTGAGATCAGTCAGTCCACATTTTAAGATTTCTGCTATAAATTCCGAATAATTCCCAAATAATCAACGTTTGAAAATTTCAAAATATTCAAGCTACATTTTTAGAGGTTTGGGGGGGTGGAATTTTAAAAAGTGGATTGACCAATCTCAAGTAGACATAATAACGAATTCAAATCTGTTTTTAAAAGTATTATCACTAGATCGATCAGTATGATGGAATGAAAATTGGCTGTTTTGGATAAAATAACTGTTTAATATAATATTATATATACTTTTATGGTATTTCGTCAGGAACGTTTTTTCAAGGCTAGCCCCTCGTCGTGTTTATAAAACTTAATTTTAATAATATTGTTGGTCTGTGGGGTTGATCTAAAAAAAGATGCCCTGAGTACCAGGAACTCATATGATCTAATCGTAACTTTTCATTATAGAAAATATCGTCAGAATATTCGTTTATACAACGTTACTGAGTACAAAATATATAAATATATCCGACGTCGTTTTTAGCGAATATATCATCCAAATTCCAAATAACTCTCATTAGATCACCCTAGGTGCGATAAAAAATGAATAATTTAATTTGTATAGGTACTGTAACGTCACAGAATTTTAGGCCTTACTTAATATTATTATAGTTCCCCTGAGCATATTATTTTTCATTATTATTATTTCTTATGATTACATTATGATATTATTATATTTATCGCGCGCCAATGCATAAATGACCACAATGTTACACAACACCTGACCCCGGCCCCCACAACCCGCAGTGTCCGCCCGCCAACAGGCCGCTGCCGTTGCCGGTCGTCACCGCCGGTCGCAGTTGTCGCGTCCGTCGATACGCACCGACAAAGCAGTCTGTTTTCCCAATTATTATTGTAAACGTCCCTATAATGCGACACTGAATTTCCCCACCACGTCAACATCAACGGCCACGACCAGCGGCAAGACAACATCAGCCGTCTTTACACACATTTTCCGAGATCGCTGAACGAACCAGACGTTTTGGTACCGTGACGCATCCCGAACTTTTCAACAACGACCACAACCGCGTGTCGACCACCATCACTCCGCGTGTGATTATTATTATTGTTTTTAATCAACGGGAACCAACCGCCATGATGGGCTGAGTACCGCTCACGGGCCCGATGGTGGGCAAAGCTGCTGAACCTGTCAACCTCCGTGTCGCCGTCACCATCCGAGGCGGTTTGATCGACGACAAGATGGGCCATGCCGGCCGCGTGTGTGCCGGTGGTATTAACCAGCCCATCCAGTTCCTCGGTCAACAACACATCTCAAGCTCAACGTCGTCAGAGTAATACCTCCAAAATTTTCCCCCCTTCTTTTTTTATTTTTTGTCACTTAAAAGCACGATACTTGTGAAATGTGCGTTTCAGAACGTCCAGGTGTGGTTGCCATTGGGGCCTAGCGGGTAACCTCCTACGCGTTCACATACAGCTGGCGTAAAAAACCAGCTGTCCCTGTGCGCGTTTAAGTAGGGGGCCCCGGACCACACTTACAGACGTTCGAACTTTCATTTCCCCCCCAAATCATTTAAACTGCCCCGGTAACCCTGTGGAGACCACCACGAGTAATGTGATGTGTCGATCCCCGTGGGCCGAGCGTTGTTTTTTTTTTGTTTCCCATGTCCCCTTTTATATTTTATACCTACTTGCCATGTGCCATGCTATATATTTTATTTTTGTTAAACTGAAAAATGTCAAAACCTTATTTAAATTATCTACAATCAAAAAACCTGTAAAATACATCCACGTGATTACCCTAATATTGCTCTTATTATTTATTTTTATTAACTTATTTATTTTTTCTCTCTCTCTCCCCACATAAATCCTCGGCATTCAGCTTGCCGTTGCGTGTATCAAAGCCTGTGAGCTCCACCGACTTGACCCTCGGGTCTCACGCGGTGCGGCTCACAGGTCATGAGGAAAGTGTTCCCCTTTCGTCATGGGTGGTTTTGGTGGCCTTAAAAAGTCACTAACTCTCACATATGGCGACCGTGACAGGACAAAATGTCCAAAAGTCCCCCTTTTAACTTATAATATTTTTTTTGTATATACTCTCAAACTTAAAATCCTTTCTCAAAAATATTAAAAAATACTCTTTAAATGGCAAAAAACGTTAGGTCTCAAATATTATTTTTCTTGGCAAGCACATGGCAAATTATTATCCACTTCCATCCGTAAAAATTATTATTTTCCTGTAAGAAAAAAACATTTATTATTCATTTTCTAAATTTCCTCTTATTGCAACTCCCCAAATCTCTTACCTATTTTATTATATTATTCAATATGACATTTTTATTCTTGTGCAAGAGACAATCTTTATTATATTATTTAACTTAATGTCATACTATTCAGTTAATTATTCTCTCTCTTGGTAACAAAAAAAAAAAAAAAAATGTAAAATATTAAAGTCAAAAATGTATTATTCACTACCAAGGTAAATTCAATCAACTATTATTATTTTTCCCCCCCCCATGTACACATTTGTTATCCAGTAATTTATTTCAGAAATTGTTCCTGTCGGTGTATGCATCGTGGAGGCGGTGGTGGCGTTCGACGGTGACGGCTTGGCGATCGGCTGCGGCATCGAGGCTCGGACACTGCGAATGACCCGTCTATTTCCCTTTGGTTTGCATTATTATATTTTCCCCTTATTCTCCCCCCTTGTTAGTTTTCCCTAGACCCGTACATCCACCCTTGTATAACATTGCTAGGATCATTTTTGTATTTTGCTGCGATAACTTAAGTTTTTTTTCCCAGACCACATGGTCCAAAATGTTAGGATTGTTAATGTCAAATCTGCGGATTGTTATTATATTATTATATTATGTATTATGTTATTATAAATTATAAAATTATGTTCTTGATGAGCATGTTTCCCTTGGTAGGAACAATTATTATTATTCTTATATTATTAAATTTAAAAGGCTAGGAAAAAACCCAATTATTATTCTCATTCTTATTATTACATTAATGTGTTAGGATTACTATTCTTATCTGTTTAAATTCCCCAACTTAAAAGCTTAATATATTATAAAAAATCATTTATTAAAATTATAAAATCAAATTAAATAAACATTCTCTTGCACGGAATTAATAAATAATATACATTTTCTTTTTCTCTCTCTCCACATTGTGCAATCAATTTAATAGGAAATATTTATTATTATAACGTCCCCTTTAAGAAAGCAAAATACCCAATGTTAGGTAGGTTTTCCCTCTGATCATTAAATTACTTTACACGACTGACTGTTTGAGATGCTGGTGTAGGAAACTTTGACCTGGCCAGTTTAGTCCACCTAAGGCCCATATCATATTATTCATTACCTTAATTATCATTATTTTCTAATTATTTAGTCTAAACTATACCTATTAAGACCGGTTATATCTATTCGTCTGCGGACATTACTTATTTATTACTGTTAATATCTTACAATTATTACATTTTATTGAAGTTTCATAGTTAATTATTATTATAGTGTTTTTCTCAATTGATTATAATTGGTGCTGAGCATATGGGATAAATTCACCGTATGGTATTCTTGCTTGGACCTGTGTATTTACTCTGTTGTTCAGAAACAAGTTTAATCTATTAATTGTAATTTTCCCCTAATTATCATTTAAATATTATTCTGTTATATAAACTGCTGTTATTTAAAACTTATTATTCTATTCTGAGTCACGTTGACTTGACTTTATATTCAAATTATATTATAAACATTTTTATTATTTCCCTATATTATTATTATTATAATCTTTTAAAGATTGCTGTTATTTGCTAATACCTGTACTATTATTATCACCTATTTACTTCAATATTTAATTATTTTCACTATTATCATTTTTTTTTAAAATACGCGAGTATTAATTCGTTTCTGCCACATACTGCCTCATGCATAGTGCGGGCCATCGAATCACACGACCCCCCGTTAGGTTCGACCCCTCTGTTCGGTATCCCTCCCCTATACTCCCTGCCACTGACTTTGATCTCACTATGTCAGGTGCAGAAGAAGTCGACCAATCCCTCACTGAGAACCCTCCCCTTTCTTTAGAATCATTAGCCCGGCTGGTTTCTAATATGTCTGACACATTTAACTCTCAGCTCGAAAATATCTCCCGGAAGTTCAGCGAATTAGATAACCGGATGGACGAGCTGTGTGCCCGTATTGACGACAATGACGTAGATGTTCGTGCCAAGCTTACCCAAGTTCAATCCTCAGTTAACACAGATTTAATTGCAATACACAGTGACATTTCCCAACAACAGCAACGATCCCAAGAGTCCCAAAAAAGTATTACTATCACTCAGCGCACACTCAATGATACCGTAAAAGCATTAGGCGATCGTATTAGCCTTGTTGAAGGCCAAAGTGCTCGGCTAGCTGCTCTTGAAAACAAAAGTCAAAATTCTGTCCCTCTTATTCCCCCACCCACTGTCTCTACAAACTCTCAATAAATACCACAAATTTCATTTAATAGCTTTCTGACCTCCACTACTCTTGCTAGTTCTTGTCAGACACAAACTACCGCCTCCCTAAATGTCTCTAATCTCTCAGCGCCCATGTATAACAACCCAACAATCCGTCACATAGACCCTCTACGCAACAATACAATCCTCTCCAATATTTCCGGTATAACTTTCGATTCAACAAAGCTCTCTCCCTACGATGGTAAATTAGTCCCCTTACATCCCGAAGAATTCCTTGAGCAAGCAGAACAGTATTTCCTCACCCAGCCCCCGGTTCATGATCAACTAAAAATTAACTACATAAAAGAGCGATTTACTGGCGACGCTAGACTCTGGTATAACACCTTATTACCCTCCCCATCTGTATACCAGGACTTTTTATTATTGTTTAGAAACCATTTCTGGTCTACCAACCAGCAACGTGCCATTAGGAATGAATTATACCGGCCATATTTTCATAGGGACAATTCATCCCTCCAAAAGCATGCTATGGATTGGATTAACCGAGCCCGTTTCCTGAGACCCCCGATCGATCAAGCCGAAATGGTTGACCAAATTATATCCCACTTTTCATTTAACATTTCCGTCGCCCTCCGAGGTCTCCGTATCGTCACAACTAATGAACTCATCCAACAGCTCTCCCACCTTCAACAGGCCCATTCCCCTCAAAATACCCAGAATAGTCAAACTGACTCCTCTCATCAAAATCAAAATTCACAACAGAACTCCTTTGGCCACAATAATCAAAATAGATACCCTCCCCGTCAAAACAATTACTCCCCTCGTTTCAATAGTTACAATAGACCTCAAACGGATAACACTCAAAATCAATCATCACACCCATCACCAGACCAGGCCACTTCCCCTTCGGGAAACTAGCGTTGACCAGACCCATGAGGACGTGTCCTGTGTCCACTAACAATAGTCCTCAAATTTCGATACTCACACACCCCTTAAATATAGATCAGGAAATCGTTCCCCCTCCAAATTATCGTCCAGAAATCCCCTTAAAACTTTTCAAAATTCACTATAATGCTCTTTTAGACTCCGGTGCCTCAGTATCTGCAGTCTCCGAAGAACTGTATCAAAATTTAATCTCTGACCCTTCACAAAATAAAATCCCCCTCTTTCCTCTTAACGGCATACTCCTCACAACAGCACTAAATAATAAATCAATAAAAATAAAATCTCAAATCTATTTAAACTTTTCAATTCAAAACTATGAAACCTTTGGTATTTTTCTTGTTGTCCCCCATCTCTCTACTCCTCTTATTTTGGGAACCGATTGGTTGGTGGAAAATGGGGTGACCATAGATTATAGTACTAAGGAAATCTCTCTCCCCTCACTCAAAAATAAAATACCTTTTAAATTAATTGCAGATCATGACCCCAATAGCCTGGTAAATTCACTCAAAAATATCAATATCTCAGAAGATCTCCCTCTACTCTCCGAATCCCCCTCAAGCTCAAAATACAACCTTCTCCCTTTCGAAACAGAAAAAAATATCGCTCTCAATGACTTTCCCCTTAATATTTCTCAACAAAATTTAATGACCTCTCTCTTACAAAATTTCCAAGACATATTTCAAGACAAACCCGGCCTTCATAAATTCTTTTCTTATAAATTTAATGACCAACCTCCTAAAGACCCCCCTGTCATTCTCCATTATACTCTGCCACCTCCCATTCCCCCTGACATAATCTATAAAAAAATTAAGAAAAAAAAAAAAAAAAAAAATTTTAGTCAACAACAAATTTAAAGTACAATTTCTGTTCAAATTTAATATCAAAAGTCAACTTCAGTTTAATAATACAATAACTTAATCTATTTTTTTTTCTTTCTCTCTCGAATCAAATCAATGCTATTCGTATCCCTATCAGGTGACACGAATTGTCCCCCGGGACTCAATAGCAAATGGGGGGTTAGCATGTGGTGTATTCTGCCTAACACGGTGTCACCACCGTACGCGAGCCTTGCTCAACACACAATGGTTGCAAATGTTATTATTATGTATTTGATATTGCTATGATGTCCCTCATTAAAATGTTAAATTTCCCCTAATTGTATGTCTATGGTCCCCTAAAATTCAGTTCCTCCTTTTCTTACAACAAGTGGTTTTCAGTTCCGACTTATGTAACAACCTTAACAACTTGTTGGGGGGGTTATGTAACGTCACAGAATTTTAGGCCTTACTTAATATTATTATAGTTCCCCTGAGCATATTATTTTTCATTATTATTATTTCTTATGATTACATTATGATATTATTATATTTATCGCGCGCCAATGCATAAATGACCACAATGTTACACAACACCTGACCCCGGCCCCCACAACCCGCAGTGTCCGCCCGCCAACAGGCCGCTGCCGTTGCCGGTCGTCACCGCCGGTCGCAGTTGTCGCGTCCGTCGATACGCACCGACAAAGCAGTCTGTTTTCCCAATTATTATTGTAAACGTCCCTATAATGCGACACTGAATTTCCCCACCACGTCAACATCAACGGCCACGACCAGCGGCAAGACAACATCAGCCGTCTTTACACACATTTTCCGAGATCGCTGAACGAACCAGACGTTTTGGTACCGTGACGCATCCCGAACTTTTCAACAACGACCACAACCGCGTGTCGACCACCATCACTCCGCGTGTGATTATTATTATTGTTTTTAATCAACGGGAACCAACCGCCATGATGGGCTGAGTACCGCTCACGGGCCCGATGGTGGGCAAAGCTGCTGAACCTGTCAACCTCCGTGTCGCCGTCACCATCCGAGGCGGTTTGATCGACGACAAGATGGGCCATGCCGGCCGCGTGTGTGCCGGTGGTATTAACCAGCCCATCCAGTTCCTCGGTCAACAACACATCTCAAGCTCAACGTCGTCAGAGTAATACCTCCAAAATTTTCCCCCCTTCTTTTTTTATTTTTTGTCACTTAAAAGCACGATACTTGTGAAATGTGCGTTTCAGAACGTCCAGGTGTGGTTGCCATTGGGGCCTAGCGGGTAACCTCCTACGCGTTCACATACAGCTGGCGTAAAAAACCAGCTGTCCCTGTGCGCGTTTAAGTAGGGGGCCCCGGACCACACTTACAGACGTTCGAACTTTCATTTCCCCCCCAAATCATTTAAACTGCCCCGGTAACCCTGTGGAGACCACCACGAGTAATGTGATGTGTCGATCCCCGTGGGCCGAGCGTTGTTTTTTTTTTGTTTCCCATGTCCCCTTTTATATTTTATACCTACTTGCCATGTGCCATGCTATATATTTTATTTTTGTTAAACTGAAAAATGTCAAAACCTTATTTAAATTATCTACAATCAAAAAACCTGTAAAATACATCCACGTGATTACCCTAATATTGCTCTTATTATTTATTTTTATTAACTTATTTATTTTTTCTCTCTCTCTCCCCACATAAATCCTCGGCATTCAGCTTGCCGTTGCGTGTATCAAAGCCTGTGAGCTCCACCGACTTGACCCTCGGGTCTCACGCGGTGCGGCTCACAGGTCATGAGGAAAGTGTTCCCCTTTCGTCATGGGTGGTTTTGGTGGCCTTAAAAAGTCACTAACTCTCACAGTACCAATATTAAAATTCACCGAAATCACTGAAAGCCATATAAATAAATGCAAATAGAATTCAATAGGTAAATTAACTACTAGCATTGATTTATGATTATAGTATATATTCAATGTTACTAAATACTACCTAGTTAGTAGTTAGTAATGGATGACTGTAATGGATGGTGTTAAATTTGAATTCAATGATATAATATTATTGTATACGAAAACCGATTTCGAGCGGACACTGTTTAACAGTACAGCCAAAGATATTTTACATTATATTTATATTATAATTATTAATACGGTAGCTGTTATTTGTATATAATAATAAAGTTTAGAAGTTTCAAGTAGGTTGGTACCCACAAATAATATTTTTAAATTATAAACACAACACCAAACGTATTTCTTTGTTGAAATATCTCATTTCGTCCAAATTTGACTGTTAATAATTTTAACGTTCAAATATATATAAGAAACTGCATTGTTCTTATACAATATTTTAGAATTTTTGGTGACAGTATAAGCTACTCGCCTTGCTTTAAATTTTCAATCCTTAGCTATAAAATGTTAGCATTACATACATTTTTAACTGCAAAATAAATTTGTAAATTTTCAAGTTGGTAAATCTTGACTATAGCGTTTTTAAAAGCCTACTTTTAAACCAATATTGTAATTATATGTGAGGAGTCTTATATTACATTTTAAAGTTTTTTGTATGTACAGTATTTATTTATTGGAGTTACACAGAAAACCAAAATAATTTTTCAAAAACCGAATTTTGAGTAAATGTTCCCGTTTTTAATTTATTTTATTTTATTTTTGTTTTACATGGCACTTTTGAAAACTATTGGGAATTATGACCACCTAAAGTCCTAAATGCACCAAAAACACACAACTAGATTCATTTTCCTATCGAAAAAGATACTGAATTATATGTTAAATTATCGGTTACAGCTCGCGTCCACCGCGCATCATCTCGTGATGGTAATAATCAGGGTTGGGATTATACAGTATAGTATAGTATAGCATTTGCATATTTCTAATGAGATGCTTCAAAAATAGCAGAGTAAGCCAGTGGCGTAGTCAGGGGGGGTTGGGTGTTTAAACACCCCCCAAATAAATATATTGTTTATAGGGACTATTGGCATGTTCTATTGTAGTGGTAGTAGGTTATTTTAGATAAGTTATAAATTTGTCTTATTAAATTTTTTTGTCTTATCAAACAATGTTTGAATTTGCATACTTTAGCATATTGTAGGAAAAGTGTACATTTGTGCATAATATAATGAATTTTTTAAACTTAAATGTAGGTACTTACATACAATTGTCGGGAAAAATCATATTTGGATAACTTTAAAAATATTATGTTTGGTAAGGTACAATAATAGGAGCTAATTTTGAGATTCGGGGAAGCCGAAGCCTAAAATCATACCATTATAAAATTGAATAAGCTTAAAAAATTTTAGTAAATGTTTGGGAGGGCTGTTAAAGTTGTTGGTGAAGATTGGCTACGGTTGGCCCTATTTTTGCATAATATGTTACGTAAGATTTTATAAGTCTCTTTGTGCCAAGACTGTGTTAAAACTATAATTGACTTCTAGATTCTAGATTGTACGAAGAAATGAAAATTAGTAGATACGTGTTCGTTTATCACGGGGTTTGCTGATAACGTGATAACGTTATTCGTTATTACTTATTTATTAATCTAGTATTTTATGCTATTATTTTTAAAAATCAAGTTTTATTTCACAATAGTTTAAAAATGTCCAAAACATGCAATAGCTGTAACCTCCATCCATCATATTAATAAATATATAGGTCCTATATTAAAATTAGTATACCCTTGTTTAAATTATTTTTATCATGTTTAAATACCTACTTATTTTTTAGTTTTTTATTACAAAAATTGTATTATGTTTTATGAATTTTTCAAAAATAATATAAAAATGTAGCTGCATATATTTAAGTATATATTGAAAATGTTGACTGCATATTTCGATAATTTTTAGTGCAACAAGTCAAGTCCCGAACCCTAAATTTATTTATGTACGAAAACTGTAAAAACTTGGTTTTAATCTATACTTAAACACCCCCCATTTCATAATTCTGGCTACGCCACTGGATTAAGCTTAAAATATGTTTCATGATACAACGAACTCAAATTAATAATTTTATTTTGGTTTCTTTAGTTTAAGTTAGTTCTTAAGTTTTTAGTGCTTTTTTTGGACTTTTTGAGACATTTTTTGCATTCTTACCTGTTCTGGAATTAAAATCGGTCATATTTTAAGAAATTATATTTTAGTAGGTAAACTTG